GAGGAGGAGGAGGAGGAGGAGGAGGAGGAGCAGGAGCAGGAGCAGGTGCAGGAGAAGATGAATGAGAGCAGCATCAGGCGACAACAAGAGCAGGAAAAGTAACAAAAACAACAACAAAAACAACAACAACAACAGCAACATCAACAACAACAACAATAGAAACAACGGCATAAACAACAAGAACAACCATACAGTCTAAATATATTACGCCTACTTTTTAACCTATGATATGAAAAACATAGAACAAAGCTGGAGTCAAAAGCACAGGTAAACTAGACGCAACACATTGTACGCTGTACCCACCACGTTGGGGTTGTAGTAGGCTGGTCCTATACTCTGGTCTCTGTTGGGCGCGTCTTGCTTCTTGAGACTTCCGTCATCACACTCCTCGTATCCATACGCTTGGCCCTGGGACGGGATGGACGGGGCCTCGGGCTTGCGGTGGAACTTGATACGACTTGTCATCAACTGAAAGGAAAACCAAAGACAAAAATCAATGCATGATTTTTCTCACAGGATGCCTCAAGCCGGGTTGTATAATCGTTCGGTTGGCAGGTATGCCATATGATAAAGGAGGAGAAGAAAATCAGCTGCAGCAGGCGACAACAAGAGCAGGAAGAGTAACAAAAAACATCAACAAAAACAACAACAACAAAAACAACAACAACAACAACAACAACAATAACAACAACAACAACAACAAATGCAATTGCATAAACAACAAGAAAAAGAATCGTTTAAGCCAGAAACAACCAATAGTTAACTGAGCAATTCATTTCTTTGAATGGAAACACATAATAATTTTTGGAGGTATGATGTGGGTTTTTTTCTTTTCTTTTTATAGCCTAATTCTTTCATTACACTTTATTTTTCATGTCTCGATTTATTTAAAGAATAAGATGGTATCGCTGCTTAATGTGTGCAACCTTGTTAAAACTCAGAACATGACATGTTTATATTGCAGTTGCTGCATCGTTTAAGTCTTTATCTTTATCAGTCTTTTCCTTTCTTTTCTTTTTCATCAACGTGTTCTTGCTTTTTTCCCAAGCATTTCTCATCATCCCCTTCGACTACTCCTCTCATATTTGTTCACTATCATCCTCCTTCTCCTCCTCCTTCATCATCATATCATCATCATCATCATCATCTTCTTCTTCTTCTCCTTCTCCTTCTTCTTCTTCTTCTTCTTCTTTTTCTTCTTCTTCTTC